CCATGCCCGACTGAAAGGCATTTCCTTGGCATTATTCACCTCCGCAGAAAAAAAGGATTCGTGTAGAAATTGCGTTGTCCGTTGCAGCGGGAAAGCTAGCAAAGGGAAATGGAGAAGGAAAGGAACGAGATACCTCTTCCAAAGTTTTAATGTTGGATTATGTGATGTGGTATGCTTTAAAATTTTCCACATCCAATTAAACTTCTAATTGTTTCGAATAATAAATGATTATAACTTATGAATTCGTAAAAAGAGTAATATTTGTTCACTGCCCGTCTTCCGTTGTCCTTCCATTTGGCCAATACTATAAATTAGTAGTTACAGCTAAAACAACTTAACATTGAGGAAAAGGCGGACTGTAACTGTATAAATTGATAACAAACATTTTGCTGTATCCGAAAGCTCTTTACGTTCGTAATGAAGTTTATTCATTTTAAACATGCAAGCTTGATTTCAAAAAATGTTCCCTGATGCAACATTCTCTCCTATCGTGTACTCAAATTAATTGAGGCGTATACGGGGTGTTTAGCTAAGAATATCCAAGTAATCGCTGAAAATACGCTCCGTAGGAACGGAAACTAGTGATTCCAACCATCGTTGATTGCGAGGACGTCACCTGTTTCGCGTCGAGGGCAACGGCCATCAGTGCCGTGGATATACATATAGGATGTCACGCTGAATAATCACTGAACTCCGGTAAGCGGGTCCTGCTAGTGCTTTGAAGCTTAATATCTCTTTTTCTTGTCTCGTAAATGACGATCCTATAAGGGGAAGGAAGCAGGGAAGAACAGAGGAAAGAGGTTGTTCGTGATACTAGGAACGTGGACTACTTTAAGCATACGAATAAACGTGATACTTAAATTTAGAAACCTCTTGTACCTGAATATACAATGAAACTCTGAATACTATAGCGCAATGTAAGAGTACGCATTCAAGCCTGATCATTTCCCATTCCTTGGCAACACAAAGGCCCTTCTTTGCTCCTCGATTCTTCAGGTTCGCCTCTTGGACAGCTCCATTATCGATCTCGCATGAAATTAATGGAGAACAAGTGTAATCTCGTGCATGAAACGAACGGTGGTCTCCTCGTCTCATCCCACCCACCTCAAAGGTGGACGTAGTTTCAGGGACTGTACGCGTTCCCGACAAATTGACCCCATAGTTTAATGGTTCGCTGAGTTTCGAGTAGTTGTACCGCAGCAGATAATGGAGTTGGGGCTATATTCGAATGATAATATTCGAAAGGTGGCCCTCCCATTTCGAATGAGTGGAAATGGCTCGTACCGGAACCGCTTCGTTGCCACCATCGTCGATGGCGTAGCGGACCGTAAATGACTCGTATAATCGGATCCGCCGTTAATTCGCGGTCCTGAAAGCAACGATAACAAGGTAGACGTCGGCTGCACGCGCGTTGTCCTTTTCAATCGTTGTACACCCCGATCGAGATCGCCGAAGAAAAAAAAATATGGCCCGAGAGTACTTACGCCTGCGAGAGAAAATGGCGAGACGGGGAGGGGACGCGAAACATCGCTGTTTTTTACGAGAACGTTTACGATCGGCGGCGATTCGCGTGTCCTGGGACTTTATTCGCTTACCAGCGCAGGAGATAAAGCTGTTAAGAGTGGTGTTTATGGATTCGGATCGAGCGGTAATCGGAGCGCAAGGAATTGTTAAGGGATGAAAACGAGTCGGTGTTTGTAATTTCCTTTCGACGTAATCAATTGCATTTATAAACGCATAATTGAATCCACCACTCGACCAAAAATATAGTATCGCCTAGAAAGTAGTTTGCTTTTAGCGAGAAAGAAAAACAGAGCGCGATCGTTTTTTTTTTTTTAAGTGCTCTTAACGCCGACGTAAATGCGAAAACAACGACGAAAATGCAAGCCAATCGCGAAGAAGGAACGTTTAAATTTTTATTTCGCGACGACGCGACGAAGGAGCTTGTGTTATACGCAATTAATAATTCAGAAACAGCGAGAAAAATGAAGCAGTCTTGCTTGGTAACGGACGCGTAATGGAAGTAACAACCAGTATTCTTAATAAGAAATACTTTCGCAAAGGACGGGACGGAATGAAACGAAGGCGAAACGTGGCCGCGGATCAACCCGACAAAGAAACGAGCTACGTAATCGGAGCGTCTATTAACTTCGCCACTTAACACTCGATGGAAGTCTGAAATTTTATTGCTAATTACTTCGGAACTTTCAATCAGTTTCATTATCTTTTCGAATAATTTCATTAAAACCTCGTGACGACGGTCATCCGATGCTTAATTCTTATAATTGCAATTATCGAAGGAATCACCGGCGACAAACGCTGGTTATTTGAAACTATCGAATTTCCTTTGGAAATTGTAGGTGCGAATTAAATCCAAGCAACGAAGGATCTCCTCGGCAATACTTCGTGGAATTATTAATTATAAACGGTCTTCGTATTATCCGTTGCGTTTTAATATAATGAATTTTTTCTATTGTTAGTTGAAATTCGTAAGCGCGATGCTTCGCACTGGGACAACAATTTTAATAACAATGCTCACTTCATTGCAGAGTATTTTAGTTAGGAAGTTCTCGCATCACAATTTCTTATTTTTCGTTGTTTTGTGATTCTGTTATTTCACATCCTGCTTTACCTCTCGTTTAAATTGCACGACAGGCAGGAAAATATTTTAAGGAAACAGCTTCTCGCGGAACGCACTTCCGCTGGTCGTGGAATCGCCTAATCTAGCGTCGTATACACCGAGTCACGTAAGCACTCGTACTCCCTCGACTGCTGACTTCGAGCTCACATATTATTTAAATAAAGCGTTAGGGAATCAAGACATCAAGAGAGGTTCTTCGTCGTTCAGAAAGAATGTCATCGAGCCCAAACGTAGCAAAACAAATTATGTTCTTTCTTTTTTTGCGAATTTTTATTGTATTCTTTACGAATTCCTATATTAATATTATTAAGCCATTTTTTTTTCTTAATAAAAAATTTACCTCTGAAAAGGTTAACTCAGTTAAAACACAATTCACTCAAGTTTCCATTTCCTTTGGGCTAGTCTGTTACCTACAAAAAAGTCGATACCAACTGAGAACTTAATTAGCACAGGCCACCTTTTTATCGATAAGGTTCTCGTTACGTTTATCCTACAAAATCTCAACAGTCCGACCAGAGCGATCGAGGTAGGACGAATACGTGTGCAGAAAATCAGCGGCACTCTGGTGCGCGCCGGTTCGTTTTCGCGACGAGCCCTCGCATCGCGCCAAAAGAGTTCCTTGGAATTTCGATAACGGCGGACGGTCACGCAACCGTCTGCCACGCACGCAACAAGGGTTGCCGCGAATTTCCAGGGATCGCTTCGTTCTTCTCTCCCTTTCAGAAGACTAACGGTCATTCTTAACAAAAGCGACGCTTTTCGATATTCCGCGTTCGAATTTCTGGGCATTACGGTATTGAATTGCAGGGTCCCTCGCGGGGCTTTGATTCACCGTAGCCGTTTCTTCCTCTTTTTTACGGTACCGTTACAAAGGAGACTCGGATGGTAGCGGCGTCCCGGACGCGTATTAATTGGGCGAACATCGAGACAGAAGACTGAACGCAACACGACTAAAAAGATCGCCGCAGTGTGCCTTGGCAAAGGAATCCGTTAAAGTGGAAGCTGTATAGCGGTTTTGATCAAACAACTCGCAGGCTTTGCGTATTCGATCGCGAAATTCGCAATTTGACGCGACGGAAGGCTGCTATTAGCGTCCATGATGGACCAGGAATTAGTTTTTACCTCCATTCACGTGGATTTCGTTTCCTCTCCGCATAGTAAAAGAAATCTGAGATTTTTTGGGAGAAAAATTGTTGTATGATTTACTAACTTTAGAAAGTCTCGATTAGAAAGCTCGATTAGAAAGTCTACACTTCCTCTCCTCTTGCCCTGGCGTCTCGACGAAGGGATTGGAAATATTTAAGTCCAATTTCTGCGACTCCATTCCTCTAAAATATGCGTCGGATGATTTACGTAGATCGAAGGTGTCGCGCGCCAGCGATCAGACCTGTCACGAAAGAAAAAGTTCGATTCGGCGGACGTTGATGGAAAGGGGTCGAGGGTGAGGCCTAGAAGGAGGGGAGGTAAAAGAGCAAGGGAACTGCAAATAGAGTGTAGCAGGGATAATTGCTCTCGTGATGTCACGGCATTTATCAAATCCACTCCCCGAGCCTCGCACCGAGTCCCCACGAGCCGTAACTGCCCCGATGAGAACAAGTCCAGGGTTTCCCTCCGCCTTTCCAGCTACCCTATCGCAGTCCTTAACGATAAGGCCAATTCCACCGTTGTCCGACGCTTCTCCTTTCTTTTCTATCCGTTCGAGCTTCCGTATTCGTCGCTTGTTTCGCGATTAGCCCTCCTCGAGACACGGGAGAGCTTTCGAAGACGCTCAACTGTTCCACTTTGACGACCGCTGTCACGTGTACGTGACTTTTCCAGCCAGCTGTTTATCGGCCTCTGTCACGTATGCGTGGCTGGACTACTTCGACTATCGTGGCTGCTTCGTTCATTTTGTATCACGTTTCTCCAAGCCTCGGTCATCGGAAACATTGAGCGTTTCTGTTGTTAAAGGTCAGTTATCCGATGTTTAGATTAACGGAGATAAATATCACACACAGACGTAGCAACCGGTCCAACGAGTGATTGGTACAGCAAACGAAAGTTATTTATATAAGCTGATAGGCTACTTAACCGGTTGATACATCCCGTTCTTCTTGGAAAAAAAAAACGATCATTTGGATTACATACAACTTTCAACGTGATTTTCATCGCGATTTCAATGCCTTCGATGGCTTTCAGCAGATGCTACTTTTAGATACTGCCCGCAGTCTGTCCATATGTGAGCGTAATCGCGACAAACAATAGATAGAGAAAGAAAACTTTACGTACAGGCAATTTTCTGTGGTGGCAAATATCGTAAACACTTTAGCCAGAGATTCTCAAATAATACCATTAACACTAATGCAATGTGATTTTGCAGGATGCTGACGTTTTATCGAGACAGGCGGAATCTACCTCCGAGAGGAAAGGATTCCTTAGTCGTGGAACAAAGCCAACATGGTCGCATTATCAGATAAACGGCCAGGTAAGTCGAGCGATGCGCCGTAATTTTCATTTTATCGGTCGGTGCGCCCGTTGCCTTATTACGTAGGAATTATTCGCACGCGTAAAATCCTCTCTATAAATCTCTCCGCGTACAATGGGTTCATTGAAAACGCGCGACGAGATTCAGAATCAATCGCCAAACAAATTATGTCCGGCGCGAGGCCGTTTCAGTCGCGGAGAGGGCATTCATAGAAACCGGATCCTCTTTCGGGAGGAATTAAAAATTATTATGAGCGGGACGTCCGGTTTTTGCGATTTCACGTCGGACAACAGGGACGTTTCTTTTCGAGCACAATGCCGAGAGAAAGCGTATGGTAATTATACACGCCCCGTGAAGGATTATATTGTTGGCGAAGGACATTAATAGGACTACGCTCATTTCTTTTTACACGGTCCGAAAAATGTCAACTGATTCGGTTACGCGATAAAAGTATTGATAAGGAATAATAATAGGATTTAATTTGATAATATTTCTTGTAGAATTTACATGTATCAACCCTTTACCCCGATTCTCCGAGGTCACATATATCCATATTTTCAAAGACCGATCTCATCTTTTTACCAACGCGTTCCATTGCGGCTTTAAATCAAACGTAATACGGCCATCGGGGAATCTGTGTATAGTAGCTATTAGTCACAATTTCTCACACCAGGATACGGTTGAAAAGTTGCTTTTATTAAAATTTACCATGCAACTCATTTCCAGTCACCGGTGCTTAACGTCCCATTACATAATTCTTTTTGGAAGCCAAGAATAATTTCAGTTAGAAGGAATTAGCTTATTGAATCTCTTTGGTCTTTCGATGCTCGTCACGACTGTCCACTAAATTCGAGACAGAACACGTGTATCTTTTATTCAACGTCCCTATTGGAGATATGCAATCCGGTCAAAAATCTGAGACGAACATACGCGATAAATTCTATGATACACGACGACGGTAAAAGCTCGACGTCGGAAAATTCTCGAAGAAGCGATAACAGATTTTATCGCCAGACCGCGCGAAATCTCGACTCCTGGTCGTTATCGGGGCTGCTTCCGAGTCGCGATATTAATTTCGAGTGGTCGTTGAGTTATCCGCGACCGCGAAACGTTTGCGAGATGTACGAAGATAAGAGGGCTGTCTCGCGCATAAAAGTCGAGAGCAGACCGAGCGAACCTTTTGAACGCAATAATTCGACAAATTGGTATTTCTTTGAAAGTACGTCGTTGCAACCGGGGGGAAATAAAAGAACGTTGGTGGCACAACGGGAGGCTAGGAAAAAGGAACGAAAGCAGCGGAACGAAAACGTCGAAACGTTTCTCGCCACTCGACACGCTCCGCCGAGGCTGCTACGATTCAAAGGAGAAAGAAAGATCAACCTCGCGTTACGAATAATGGGATATTACGGGTAATGAGTACGAACGACATTGGATAACACTTGTTAGCAAAAATTGTTGGTCGCAGACATCCGCGAAGACTGAATAGAATGTCGCGATCCGAAACCCATTCTTAGATTCATCTTTCTTCTTGCGACAACATGTATACAATTTCGACTAATTGATTTACGACTGTGCCGATACGGGAAGTAAATCTATTTCCTCGATGGAAGCGAGACATATCTAACCCAATTGCGATATAAAGTAGTATCGGTCAAAATTGATCCAGCTTCGCGAGTGGACAGTCGAAGATAGAGCTGAAAGTCCGGGTATTGTCTCTTACAGGCGCATCGCGACCCTCGAGCTTTTAATACTTTCAACGTTAAAGCTTCGAAAGGAGTTTCCCAGAACGCGTTTCTTCGAGAGACAATAACGGCCCCTCATCCCTGTTCGAGTGGAGACGTTCGCTCTTCTTCGCGTAGCTGGAACATCGCCGTTGATTTTACGCGGATCGATGGCGATGTTTGCTCGCACAGCTACGGAGGAACACCAACGCTCAAATTATCTCTAGCAGGGCTTAATTTCTGCGCGAATACATTTCTCCCGATTTGTAAAAGAGCTCTGGCAACTCGGTAATAATCCGCAGCGTTCCCAGCGCGTAAGTACATCGGCATTAATAAAGCCTATGCCAATACGCGATGCCAGACGGAGGGTTATATATACGTTCGCAAAGTACACGTCCGAGCCGGAATCATTGGTCACGTTTGAAGGCAGTGGAATAATATTGACTCCGTGAAATTGCGAAAGTCGTCTGTTAATTACAGATTTCAACCGCGAAACGCGGCAAAGAACGCGGCTGGCCGATGAGTCGAAAGCTCGATCATGGGGATGAAAAAGAATGAAACGGATGAGAGAACGATTATCGCTATTACACGGTGGGAGGAGAAAAGGGTAACTGCGTTGGAAAATTTTTAATTTAAAAGCTCTCGCTTCGAATTGATAACAGAATGATCGAGGTAAATTAATTCTTGCTTTCGAGACGGAAAACTTTTCGTCTTCGTTTCTTTGCGTATCGTTCGAACGCGAGGAAACGATTATCACGATTACACGGTAAGAGAACCGTTCGAAGCAGGGCGCTAGAGAATCACATCCGAGGATTATCCGAACGTCGGAATGCCGGATGAAATTTATCCAGGCCTGGGCAATAGGGAGTCGAGCGCACGAGGAAATATGCAGTTAGAAAGTAACAGCGCGCATGGTACCGAGCGACGACAAAATAGCTCGATTAAGAGGCTATAACCTTACGGAGGAAAAATATATTTCCTCCGTAGAAACGGCGTTATTGGCAATCATTCTTCCCCTTCGGCCTGCCAAGCCTCGGAAATGCGAAAACGCTCGACCGATAAAGTCCTCGTATCAGGAATGCGAAATCAAACGTATCGTGAAATAAAAATTGCTGGTCGCCGCACCACAGTTCGACGGAATCGTTGAATTTCGGACGTGCATCCCGTGAACCGGGATAATATTTAATTTTGGTAATCTATACGCATGAAAATAAATATTTTATTTTGATAATCTAACGCATAAACAGGCGAGATAAAATATTTATTTACTATTTACCATTCAAAATACTATTTTACGCAGCACTGGTCAAGCGTCTCGCCACGCGAAAGAGCCACGAAGAAAGAACACGAAATGGACACGAAAACGTAACGCGTACCACGTATCAGCACGCGTTGTACCAGGTATCGTTTTTCCGCGTATTTTATTATTTCTCCGGTTCCGCGCGCTTTTCGATAAATATCGCGATGGAACGAGACTTGTGATCTGGTTCCACGGTTCTATTTGTTCCACTACGTTACCGGAGCCTCCGCGACGGATTTCGAATTATCAGGCTCGAGTTTATAATGCTATCGGAAAACACTCCGACTGCTCTGGAAATCCTTGCGTCTCTTATCGCGATAAAGTATTACCTACTCTTCTGGACGCCCAGGTATGGATACAAATGCCGTATTTTGCATAGAAATCATAGAGCTTTTAATTGAAATGAGATTTCTATTAAAAACCAGGACCTTTCGAACCTTCATTCGTCTTCATTCGCGACGTACATTTGGATGGTATATCGCGAGGTTCACCCAGTACGTAACGACTCGAAGGCGCCAGCGAAATTATACGCGATAGAAAGGCCAACGGACTTGGCATCGAACGAGTCATAAACATACTTCGAACTTATCCCTGCGACGTTCCTCGATTCAATTTACGTTCGGATGCCTCGCAGAAGTTCCGTCTGGCATGATGCCACAATGGCAATATGTCCGGCCATTTTTTCCATCCCCTCGGCACGGTTCCACCCCTGAAAACGTCCTAGGCAAATACGACCGAAGCTTATCTCGAGGAGCGTACTGCAAAAATCCGGTCCAAGAGACGAGACCACCCTGACCACGTCTCGCTACTCGCCCTCCGCCCTCCGCCCTCTCGCGCGACCCGCTCGCGAGTAAAGCGATTTCGAGGCGTGACCTGGAATTTGTCCGACTTTGGAAATTTACTCCCGTTTCCGAGAAGAAAGATCCGCCCGGATAAGGAGCTTTAAATCTGGCTCGCAACACGCGGCCTCTGTAACAAATTGTGCTGATATAAATTCGCTGTTTTAATAGGCGCGGCACGCGATATTTCATCGTTGTCCCGCGGAATACTCGCCGACATTGTAAGTAACGCTTTAACGAACCGACGATTAATTTATGGGTCCGCCAAGGAAGCTGAATAAAAGATGAGCGAGCCGGGCAACGCGGACGGAATCATTTTTGTAGACCGAGAAGAAAGGGCGCAAGAGAATCGACGACAAAGTTAACGGTGCCTCGGTTGATTCTTGCTGCGTCGCGAGAGATCCAGGTGTACGGTGCATTCGATTATCTTCTTACACGGTTTCTGTTTAACCAGGAAATGAGAAGCGTTTTTATTTTTTCGCATCGTGATCCATAGTGCCAGGAATCAATTATCTTCGTTCAGCGTTTCCTTTAAATCTTAAATACGAGGAAATAAAAATGTATCTCTCTAACATTGGGCAAAAGCGATGGTTACAGTTGGGTGTGCGTTCGCGTCGACGAAGATCTATTAATTTGTGGAGGAGATCGCGTATTCCTGTCATCGCGCGATGCAGTTCGCGGAGCGTTGAATGAATTTACGAGCCGCCACCCGAAACGACGCTCACCAGACTCGGAAAGAAGTCGTTATCGTCCACGAGCGTGGCTGTTAATTAAAAGGGCAACGTCAGTCCGACGAGCGGGGCTTTCGCGCGTATTAAGTTATCGAGCTAGAAACGATCGTATTCGCGCGGTTGCGTGGTCACGTTCGAGCGTACTGTTCATCAATCACGATGTTTCTCGGATACGTTATCGACGGGAACATTGAGCGCGAGTGCCGCACACCGCGCTTCGCGGGAGCCTCAATTATTTTCACACTGGTGTACGCACGGTGGTCGACCGCAATCGCGAATCGATCTTAAACGCGTCGACGTTGGAAACAACGGGCGGCGATCAGTCGATGAAATCGTCGGACAATCCAAAGTGCAGCCGCTAATGTATCGAGTCACGTTACTAGTGCCAGCGGTTACGCTAGGAGAACGT